AAGAGGCGCAGGCCGGGGGGTCCCGAGGAAAGCGGCAGCAGAGAGGTGCTTAGGTAGAGCTGTAGGAAAATACAGTTGCAGGTGCTCGAAATAGGAGCTAAAAACATTAAGAATTCCTTCTTTTGCAGATTTGTAACAAGCACAGCCTGTGCCTTGTCAGGACCCTGTTCGTGGTCTCCATGTTGTCCCATCTGGATGGAAGCGTTCTGAGAAGAACCTGGGGACGTTCTGTTTGGCTTTGCGTTTTCCAGTGAGTTTTTTTGTCTCCGAAAAGGCAGGCGTGTGTCCTCCAAGAAGCAAAGAGGTACAGACTAAATGGATCTGAAGACAGCAGTGTTCAACGCAGCTCGTGATGGAAAGCTGCAGCAGCTTTCCAAGTTACTGGCAAGCAAAACGAGAGAAGAGGTAGCCCTGCTGATGTGCGAGAAGACGAACGGTGCCACCCCACTCCTGATGGCAGCCCGCTACGGCCACCTGGACATGGTAGAGTACTTGTTGGACCATTGCTCTGCATCAATAGAAGTTGGTGGCTCGGTAAACTTTGACGGTGAGACCATTGAGGGGGCTCCTCCGTTATGGGCAGCGTCGGCAGCTGGGCACCTGAAGGTGGTTCAGTGTCTCTTAGATCACGGGGCATCTGTCAACAACACGACTCTGACAAATTCAACGCCGCTCAGAGCTGCCTGTTTTGATGGTCACTTGGAAATAGTAAAATACCTTGTGGAGCACAAAGCAGACCTGGAAGTATCCAACCGTCATGGACATACATGCTTGATGATCTCATGCTACAAAGGCCACAAAGAAATTGCTCAGTATTTGCTTGAAAAAGGAGCTGATGTTAACAGAAAAAGTGTTAAAGGTAAGTTAATTCTTTCACTTTACTTGTGGTAGGTAGGGGTAAAGTTACTCATTTACCTTTTAGGAGTCTGACATCCAGAATATTCTACTCTCCTGAAGTGAACGAGTCAGAGATAAAGTGTATTTAGTGTTGGTTTTTTGTTGTTTTTTTTTTCCCCCAGCATACTCCTTTGTTAACATGCGTTACATAGTTTCAATCTAAATTGATACATTTTAATCTTAACCTCGTAATTCTTAAAATTACTTAGTCATATGAAATCTCACATTTACCCACAATGTGAGAAGCTACCAAACTCGCTGGAAACTCTTTGTAGTAGACTGGTGTTACAACACACCCAAATACATGAGCATATATTCCTGTTTTTCATGCCGTTTCTTAGAAAACCAAATATGGTGTGCAAAAAACTGACCTGTGCCAGTAAGTCTGATACAAGAAAAGGTGCATAAAGAAGAAGAATGTTTTTCTACATCAGAAATTAATAACCACTTTGCTGTACACCCTCCTGTCCCTCCAGACTCTTGGATAATTTAGGCTTTTTTTCAGTGTTAGCAAAGAGAGAGACGTATATTAGAATGAAATAAAGGAAGCTGCAGGTGACTTCTGATCCCAACGTAAGTGGTGCACAGGTCATGAAGGACATATTATTGTCCCAATTTACAATTGCCCTGGTTTTACTGCTTACAGTAAAGATGTCTGTCATTTTTGCTGTGATCATAATTATGTACCCTCTTGGTTTTAACAGCTGGGGTTTTTAGTACATCTGAAACTTGTATGTGGGTGTCATACTTGCCTGAAGAGTGTACCATTTATTTCAGATTACAGCTAGTTTTTAGATCACTGAGCCAAGATTGTGTTTCAGCAGCTTTATATGTATTCTCTCTCTCTCTCTCTCTATATATATATATATATTTATGTATGTGTATATATATATATATAAACATTTTACTAATAAATATTTTTGCAGTGTTATACTTCCACTACCTGCTTCTGACTAATTATGTTTGTAACAGTGTACTATATTTACAGTTATTTCTGTTAAAGTATACTTTGTGTCTAGATTATTGTATGGTACTGGTAAATGTCAAATATGAGAGTAACCTTTGGAAAAACTGTTCAGTTAAGTATGCCTTTTTTCTGCAAATCATGCAGATATGTGGGTTTAATAAAAAGAAAGCTAAGCTACAGATTTGTCATAGAAGTGGGCAGAGCAAAATAAATCTTCCTTTGTAAGGATTTAAGTTTGCATCCGATGAATCATCATGGACTTGTGAGAGGATAAAAATGTCAATTTTCTAGACAGAGTTCTTGGAATAACAAGCTAAATAAAAAGCATATATTATTTTGAAGATTTAAACCAATCCTTTTTATGATAGGTACAAACAGAGCAGCGCTGTTAAATATCTGATGTAACAGGAAAAAAGATCTCTGCAGCTCTTTCCCCCTCATTTTGTGTTGGTGTAATAAGCTTTACTTTACTGGTGCTTGTTGTTCATTTGACGAGTGTATTAGTGTTATTTGTCTCTGTTGAAATGACTGAGTGGCAGCCATGCACTCCTGAGGGTTTATTTTCCAAGTGCTCTCAGTTTCTTTATTATCTTAATTTCTTCCTCTCTCTGCTTCCCTTAGTTTCTGTGTGACTCACAATTAGGCACATGAGTAAAGGTTCATTGGGCATAACTGAAGCTTATTTAAATTACATTTTTAAAAGTTGGATTGGATGTGGTTTAGGTCATTAACATGAATTTTGTATTTCATACTGCTGTGCGTGCAAATGGGCGTGCATACGTAGCATCTGTTGGTTGTCTGTGGACTATGTTTTTTTATGTGGAAATCCCCTCTGATGTGACACAGACATACTTTTTGGCATCTTAAAGCAGTCTTGCCTCTGAAGTTACTGAATAAGCAGTGGTGAGGTGAAGGGAGAAAATACTGTAAGCCCTAAAAGTGAAAGTCAGCTGTGGAAAGACAGAAAAACTGGAAGCAATAAGTATTGCAACAGCGTGGGTATTGCAGTGGCATAGGCTCAACACAAAACAATTAATTTCAAAATTAGTATTTCCAACAGGATTCATTCTACATTGTTATGTTTCAGCCCAAAATCACTATGTATTATTTTCAGTTTATGCTTCTCCATGCTGTGTACTAAAAAGTTGTCAGAGTGTGTCGCTGCTTGTAGTAGGGAGATACAGAAAACTCGAGTGCTCTGCTCTTGTTTAGTAGAAGTTGTTGCTATCCTTGTCTCTGATCACTTTTTAGATAGGTCCTTTCCTGGGCCATGTGTGGAGAAGCCTGCTGTTCTGTGAAGCTTTAGCTACTGCTGATTTCGCTGCATTTAAAATTGCAAGTCTCCTGACAAGAACAAAGCTATGTAACTTCAGCAGAGGTGCTGTTGTGGGAGATTAATATAGATTCCTTTCCCAATATTGTTCTTAAAACCATTAGGGGCAGGAAGGGGTGGATGGAGAAAGTTGCTTGAGCTGTTCTTTGTGTTTTTCCACTGGGTTCTCATGTTGCAAGGTAGAACTTTTAATCATATTTAAAAAAACAGGAAAATCTGGAGCCAGGAAAAATAAGAAAATGTTTTGAAGCCTTGACAGTTCAGGGAAAAATTAAAGTACTTTAAGGTGAAAAATGGCTGAGTTCACAGGCATGTGAAAATCAGGGTGACAACTGAGGCAAGGTATGATAGAGCAGGTAAAAACATGCGGTGAAATCCTGCTTCTAAAATACTGGCAGAATCCCATTACTGTGTCTTGAACTACAGAAATTCAGAACAATGGTTCTTGAAAGGCAGTTGTGGAAGCACAAAAGTATGGCTAAGAAACTATTAAGACGTTTGTAAAGACTTGAGAGTATCCTTTTACTTGTTTGTTGGGGTTTTTTTGGTGGAAGAGCAAAAGGCAGCCAAAGCACCACTTACTAAATTAATCCACCACTGTCTTGGTAATTCAGAGGCTTCACCAGTATATTATTCCTGGTTTAAGAAGTGCAGAATTAAAATAGCAAAATTTCATGAGTTTCACTGGTATATAATAGTATTTCAAATGGTGAGTTGCTGGGTTTTGGGTTTTTTTCAAAAACAAACCAGAAAACCCTCTTAAAATGTGAAGATCTTAAAGCTTTTATTTACTGCTCTTCAATGGAGGAACAGTGTGGATAAGTTGCAGAAACCAGAGGTTTTTTTCAGGAGGAGGTAGAGCCTGAGAACTTAACCTCAAGTGAAGCACAGACTGCCTTTGTGATGGGTGAGGACGATGTTCAGTGTGTTGGCTGCATGCAGTTTTCTGCTGCATTGTGAAGCCTGGTGGTGGTCTGTTGTTGGAGTGATGCTCCCTTAAATTCAGAATAGACCTTTGAATTAAACGCAGTATTTCACTGATGTGTTTCTGTGCACTGTCTTAATTTTGCTGCTATGCACACGGAAGGAAATGGCTACTTTTGTCATTCAAGTGGTATCAGTCTTTGGGTCTTCGAATTACAGATTTGGGCTCTCCTGGAGGTGTACCTGAGGCAGTGGGTGTTTTGTTTTTTTTTTATTCTATGTTTAAAATAAAATATTTCATCTAATTGCCCCAATACAATTATTTAGCATGAAGACTGTGTTGAAGGGTTTTTACACTTCTGTTTTAAATCCAGACAGGGCACTTAGATCTTACATTTTGAAAGTTTGCAATGCACATTTTGATAAATTGTGTTTTATCTTCCTCCACCAGACTTGTTGCAATAATGGAGATTCATTCCCTTCCTTTCTAGAATTAATGAGTTAAATTATATATAAAGGACACAGGGGCTGACAGCCAGGATGGTTTAAATGTAATGGTGCAGGGAATAAGGACTCTTTTGAAAAATGTCTGAAGGAAAGGCAGATCTTTTTTCTGAACATGGCTTGTAAGTCTTTCCATTGCTCAGCTGCTTGGTATGTGGTCTCTTTCTCTTCAAGGTGATATTCATTGTCTTCATTAACTCTGTATCTCTTCTGTTGTTAGTAAACTCATCTGATAGCCAAAGTATTCATTTTTCTCCTCCTCTGTTAGAAAATTTTGTAAGACCTGCTGGACTAGACATTCCTTTAGGTGTTGCCTGAGATCTGCCCAGGAATGTTTGGTTGCAGCCCTGATTCTTCATCATTTATTGATCATCCATACTACCCTAGCAGCTGGAGGGGCTCAGGTGTTTAGAAAAATCGAGATCCTACTATGTTTCAAATACATTCCACTGACACAGTATATGATGAAAATAGCATTGTAAAATAATAGGGAGGACAGGACTTTTTGACTTTGCTTCCTCATTTTGGAAAGTACAGAAGCATAGATACCTCAGTCTCCGTATTAACTGTAGTAAGGTTATACATACAGCAGTATGATATCAAGGGCTAGTGCTATCTCAGTACTGTCATTTATGTGGGGTGCTGGGAGGTGTAAGACTCAAATGTCCTGGTAAGGGAAAAAAAATCTTCTACAGACTTGACAGACCCAGAAACAAGGGGATTAGAGAGATTCACATCCTTTGCTCTATGATAAGTGTGGCTTAGTGTGCATTAAAAAAAAATCCATTTTCTCTCACAGTAAACATTAAGGAGTCTGACAGGTTTGTTCTCTTCTGAGGTTTTTTTGCTTAGTCTGCTTGCCGAGATTCATTTTGGGTGTGGGAGACACCAAACAATTTTATTTTTCTTCCTCTGGTGAATTAATCTTTTCTCTAAAAGTGTTCAGTGTCTTTTTTTGGTTGTGGTTTTCTCCTTTTTTGGTTGATATTACATGGTGCAGTGCACTGCATTTTGTAGATACTTTGTGTGTGACTCTGTGTGGAAGTTGAACTTTGATAGGAATGTCTGTAAATAAAATAAGCAAGATACAGTTTAAAGGAATGTGTTCCTTAATTTCAACCAAAAAGGAGTTTTAATCACAATTAAATTATTAATAGCATGTTTTTATTCACAATCTTGATAATACAAATTCTCATCAATTCTCATCAAGGGGCAAGAGAGCAATTATTCAGTT